CACTGCCGGTTGATTTCGCGGGGAGAGCTCACACAGAGGAAAAGAGCGGGGGATGAATACGGCGCGGCAGAGGCAAGCAGAAAAGGATGATGAGATGAGTTTAAGGAACTAAATTGAAGCTGCGTGTCCGGAACCTACAGGCACCTTTGCTGAACAGGGACAGGAGCGGGGCCTCGAATGTCAAAAGGCCTATTGCGTTAGTTAAGACCCTCTTGCCAATGACAAAAGACATGAAAACGATGATACAGCGATCTGCACTCACAATGAGATGGTGGCCTGTGCCAGTCAGAAGTCGCAAGACCGATTTTTTGCGGGTTTTGTTTCACATAGGCCCTTGTGAGTCCATACCAAATCTTAAATTAACTTTAGCTAAAAAAAACTGATAGGGTATCGGGAGTCAGGTTCCATGTTGTGAAGGCCGAGCAAAATATAGCGATGGCCCAGCCAAATATAAGGGGGGCCCTGCCCAACATTGAAGAGACCCAGCTCAACATTGGGAGGCAGCTCAACATTAGGGGGACATGACCCCCAAGAGATACAAAGTTCCACCCCTGATAGGTAACAACCAGTGGCGAGGAACATAAACCAGTGGTCATCACCGTTGTTAAATTGAGCATGGGTCTTGGGGTGCTGTATGGCAAAACCATGCAATCAAATCTCTTGTGGCTCATTGTTTTGAAGATTTCGTCACTTCGTTGATTTCGCCTACCAACATCAACTAGGCGAGACCAACATTAAGTTATCTCAACTTGAGGCACCTTGCCAGTTTTCAATCGTATGGTAAAGCTCAGTTTATATATATATATATATATATATATATATATATATATATATATATATATATACATGAATTGTAGTTAAAAAATAATGAAATTATTTGTCGCATTCAGGAGAAACCGATGATAGCGCCATCTGATGGCCGGGCCGGGCGACCAGGCGCTCGGCGGCTTGGCATCTGCCGGCCACCTGGCCGCCCATTGCAGCGGCACGGTGCACCCGAGCAGGCGCAGAATACTGCGAAGAGAAAACGCGCCTCAGAAGTGCTAGACGGCAGTTGAAAAGCAGCCAGAGTGGCATAAACGCGTCCATGATATCCGCTGCAACCGTTATATCATCTGTGGGTCAGCACTTCACCGTGTAACTCGCATTGCAATCCGGTGCGGGTGTTATTGTTTGGCCGATTGTGATTATCGGCGGGGACAGGGGTAATCTGTTATGCCTTTTAGTCAATGACGGACTCATTGACTCACTGACGTAGAGTCCCTGCTATGAAATTTTCTCCATGTTAAGGAAATGCAGCACAGTTATGGAGTGTTGGAATATATAATGATGATTAAGTTGTTGCAGGGTTCACTTCTATTCTTCCCTCCATAGCTTGGGAGACCTATTAGAAAGCCTCGTCCAGGAGGCTGCCCCGCGAAGAGTTTTGTCTAGTGCTCAAAGCCACTTGAAAAGTTCTCACCAGCTCAAAAACCGCGGCACTTCCCGTCGGAGGAATGCTCTTGTGTCACGATGGTTTTTTATGGTTGAGGGGATCTAAAGCAGAAAGGTTAAAAGGAATCATATCACAGAAATCATCATGATTGCAGACATTTGCCATCACGCGAGATGGCCCTCTTCGATCCAAAACTGGGACCCGGCCTATGCTCCTTTTGCACAGTCAAGGAGCCGATAAGCGCCTTATTCCAACCGGCTGAACGGGACGGGCTTCATCTCTTCTTCCGTTCGGCGCTCCCCCACGACCAGGGGCCCTCGGCGTGTTCTGAAACCCTGTGAAAGTCAGGGAAGCGATTTGTGTACACTGCTCCGCCGCTGTCCATTTTCACGCTTATTCCTTTGGAATGTTTGTTGTTCGACTTGTTGCTTTAAATGTTTATCATTTTGACTTCTACCTTTTTCAGCTTTAAAGGCCTTGAAATTCTTGGCTGTTTGAATTTTTGTATTTAACTCAAATGCTTTTGACTTTTATGCCATTTTATTCGATGTCGTTTTGACTTTGGACCCATTGCCTTGCTTCTGTTTGAGTTTTATCCTGTTTGACTCTTTGCCAATTAATTTGTTATCATTTGATTTTTTCTCCACTGGCTCTTTGTCTTTTGACTTTTTCTTATAACCCACTTTGTTGCGCTAAGTTTTTTAGGCGACAAGTTAAAAAGCTTTTCTTTAAAGTTTTTTAGTTTCAGCACAGTTGCCTACGCGCCGCATCAGGTTTTGGAGCCTCTGACGCGGCACCCGTGCTCACCGTCCTCGCCGACTCACTGGATGCCTTGTTGTGTGAGGGGATGGTATTTGAGCGCGAGATTCCTGCTCCTTCCCACTGGGCTGCCAGTGGAAACGCATCCGGATAAAGGTGATCCCCGTCTGACCTCCGTGGTATCATCAGCACCTGGTCATTTCACGACAAACCGACAGGTGAAAGGGCCGAAGTAGCAAACTATGTTTTTAGTTCGCTGAAGGTACCAATATTGAGTGATTTTATGCCCGGAATTCAGCTGTGGCATTTTTTATAGAAATCACAGCAACGGCTGAGGAGAAAGTAGCGAGCAACTGAGGAGGAACAACGGTCTTAGCCTTTGGAATGTTTGGAAACCTAACAAGCCTGGGTGTCTCTGAGTGCCGAACGCATGACTTTAGTGTATCTAATGGTAACACGATGGTACAACACACGCACATGACACAAATTAATTGAAAATGCCACACAAGGTCATGTAATAACAAACGACCACCCGTCCGCAATCCTCCAGGCGTGAATCGTTTAGTTTAGCACAATTTCTAATGGATATGATGAAATCATCGAATTTAGCGTTGGACGTTCCTTAAAAGCGTAAAAAGACTCTGAGATTTTCAAATCAAGCGAAGAAGATGTGCTGCACAATGTACTAAAATTGAAAGCCAAAACTGGGGTGTCACATATCAATGAATGTTCTGGTGTTGGAATGTGTTGTGGGGAGGAGTCAGGTCTTGCAAACGATCTTCCCCTCCGGACAGATGGATCCAAATGCTGCTGAACGCGACGACGCAAGCTCCGAAATGTGGAACCTATGTAGGATGCCTTACACGAGGCACAACAGAACTCGTAACAACAGTCGATCGGCAGTATTTGAGTAATCTATCCTTATGTTTGAAAAAGGAACCTGCTAGTTAGGAACTCACGCAAAGAATTCTAGGATCTAAAAATGGACAGAATTTTAATAGAAAGTTGATCAGTTGCGTTCCTGTGCTGGGCCGTCTCACGAAATGAGTACACCACAAGTGATTTATATGAATTCGTGAATGAAATGGCAAGTGTACCAGTCGATGGAAATATATTCATGACGAGCTATTATGTTATTAGTTTTTCACCAACATTCCTTTGCAAGATACCAACGGAATTTGTGTGAGCCCCTTGTTTCAGAGAGGCGCTGAGGTGATAGCAACAGCCATCAACTAGAGCAGCCTTTTCCTCTTGGAAGCATACCAATAGGCATATGTGAGCTTATTTCTTGGTATCCGATGGCTGTGGCTCTGGCTTCAGTATCTTCAAATGTGGAACATTCCCTTTAAGTTTCATTCATTTCTGCCTGTTCCCTCTCTGGCATCATGCACTGTGGTCCTGCAATGGCTCGTCGGGCTGGGTGCCCTCGTTGAAATCCTGGTGCAGGCAGCTGTTCGTCCTGCTCTCCCGCCACCGCCCATTGCCAGAGCGCGGTGGTCCCGCCGGCGCGACCGTGGCCTCGGCCTTGACTGCCGTTCGGCCAGAGACCTGCACGGAATACCCAAGCCCTTGTGACTTCTCACAAGTCATCGTCATACTGGATATCAGACAGGGTCAATGACCTAGGCTGACCTTTTCCTTACGATGAAAGCTATACTTAAGGCCTACTTATTCACTCGGCTTCAAAAATATCGCCTTCGTCTACAAAATCGTACTCGTCCCGAGCACGCCTGAACAATGGCCTCCTAGGAACGTTACCGGTTAACCAGATAGGTTCAAAATAGATGTCACTGAGTTCCTCAGGTTTCCGGCTATCGAAATTATACGCAACAAAGAAAGAATGGTCACTTCATTACATGATGAGTGTCACCTAGTGAAACGCTTAGAAATCAAACTTAAGCTAGATGCCGCGAAGTTTGAGGTTTAGCAGCCGCCCTTGCCATCCCCTAATCCAATGGACATGGTTCTCACAGCCTGCTCGCTAAGACACTCCTCATGTTACAGACATGCGCAGGAATGGAATCAAAGTCTAGGTGGTTGCTACTCGCATCCGCTGTCATTTGTACCCTTCTGTTTATTGTCAGGAATGGAGCGGAAGAAGGTGAGCTTGAAAACATCTGGGAATACGAGAGAGAGAGAGAGAGAGAGAGAGAGAGAGAGAGAAGAAGAGAGAGAGAGAGAGAGAGAGAGAGAGAGGAGAGAGAGAGAGACGAGAGAGAGAGAGAGAGAGGAGAGAGACAAGATAGACAGAGAGCAGAGATACAGAAGACAGAGAGACAGGAGCAGAGAGACGAGAGACAGAGAGACAGAGAGACGAGAGACAGAGAGACAGAGAGACAGAGAGACGGAGAGACGAGAGAGACGGAGAGACGACGAGACGGAGAGAGGGAGAGAGGGGGGAGAGAGAGGGAGAGAAGAGGGAGAGAAGGGCGAGAGGGCGATAAGAAGCGAGGGAGAGAGTATGGGGGAATAGGGGAGAGAGGGGGAGAGAGGGGAGAGAGGGGAGGAGGAGAGGGGGAGAGAGGGGGAGAGGGAGAGGGCGAGGGAGAGGGCGGAGGGAGAGGGAGAGGGAAGGGAGAGGGAGAGGGAGAGGAGAGGGGAGGGAGAGGGAGAGGGAGGACGGGGACGGGGACATTTTTTGTTATCTTTCTGTTTATTTTTGTCACATTCGCACAGTCCGTACAGATGAACTGAGGAACTGATGCGAGTGCGACCGCAGCCAGACCGATCGTGTAAAACAGCAAATGCAGGTGGAAATGACGGCTGTCGCGCCATTGATGCAGCCATACACATTCTGATATCGGTGATGACACCACCCATCGGATCAGATGTGTCTGTGCCGACAGGGGACGTGGCTTCCGCCTTCTTCTCCGTCCCCAGCCTTGATCTGCACTCTGACCACACCTGCAGCCGGGTTTTCAGCCTGTCCGACTCGCGCCCTTTCTGGGAGGCGGAGGATACGGCGCCGCCGCGCTGCGGAGCCTCCAGCCTGGGCGTCAGCGACGCGCGCGTCTGCTTGCGGCGCCTCACCAACTCGCGCCAACGGCCGGCACACCTCGTCCTGGTTGGCGACTCGCGCGCTCGCATCCTGCTCGAATGGCTGTCGGCAGAGCTGGAGTTGCAGTTCGAGGGCCGGCCCGTGCAGGATCTGTTCCCGGACGTGGCCAACGCCTCGCGTCACGTTGTCGGCCACCCGGCGCTCTGCACGGAGGGCTTCAAACTGTTCGACTCGACGCGCACACACTGGCAGAAGCTCGCCTGCAGCCTCGTAGCAGCCAGCCCCCTCCTGCGCGTCGAGTTCTTCTGGCGCGCGCACGCGGACGACGCGTACCTGAACGTGCTGAACGCGCTGGCCGACGAGTGTGGCCGGGGCGGCGCCTGCCCCGACCTTGTGGTGCTGACGGCCGGCTACTGGTATGCAAAGCCGTTCCAGGATGAGACGCGTATGCCGCTGCAGGAGCGCGTGCTGCGCTTCCGGAAGGATATGCTGCCGTTCGCGCGCCACGTCCAGGCGCTGGCGGCCTTCACCAAGGTGGTATGGAAGCTGGACGGGCCGGAGATGACCGAGAGCAGCGGCAAGAATTCTCTCATCGGCGGCGTCATCCTGTCGTCAAACGCCGTCGTATTCGACGTGTACAGACAGGTAGGCAGCTGCCAAGTGCGCGCGCCCATGGGCGACTCTTGGGCAGTGGCGGCGGATCCTCGAGGCGCTGAGAGCAAGCACATGTTTTCGCTGCTCCCTGTGCGTTGCAGGTTTTGCGCTAAATTTTGTCAGAATACGTGGAGGTTACTCTCCTCTGCAGCGTTGGTGAGCTCGCCTTTGTATTTTTGGATGTGTTTACCTAACTGTTCGGCCATCATAAGGAATTGCCGCAAGGTTAAACCCTTTTGAGACCCGACTTGGGACTTACAATTTTATCTATGCCCAGTCTCTGAACTATGGAGTCGTTCCCACGACTGTCTCGAATAACTGTTTCCGCTTGTTGGTTCTGAAGTTATCAAATGGCTCGTGTAAGAATGTTACAAGTTCCGGCGACCTTTTCAAACTTGCCCGGGGTATTATTTTTGAAAGAGGCTCAGCTCAGCTGCAAAGTGTTCGCCCAAGATCGTTACACAGGACCGGTGGTTCCAGCATGGCTGCCTGCTTCGGGTTTCGCGGCATCGTGATATTCGACGTGATAATCGTGATAACTAACGTGATATTGATAATCGACGTGAGAGATTACGACGCTGACATATCAGAAATGTTCAACAGGTGGTTAAGGCCCAGGTATTGAAGGAAATGTTTCACATTTGAATATATTGGAGCGATCATCAGATACGATGAGACCAGATCACTAATAACTGTCGGTACACTTTACAAGTGAAAAACGGCTCTAGACAGCACAGGTCTCTATTTAGTAAACATGCCCCTTAATACGTCATGGTTTGTCACGTCGTCGTACCGTGTACAACACTGATTTAAAGCTGATTAACGGCCATTATATCTAGAAATTGTGCTCACGAAGGCCAGATATCAACGCCTTGACACTGACATTTTTTGACCTCATCGCCGCATGGCTTATGGAATGGCTGGGTTTGAATGACGTCATTACAAAGTCATGAATTCCAAGGTGATTTTGAAATACCCCCGCAAAATACTCTCCCCATTTTCGCGGGCGTATAGCTCAGAAACTAGATGGGTTTAGGTCTTGAAAGGGCAAGGTTGTGAACAGTACGAAAAGGTCTTATTCAGATGGTCATTCCGGTTCAAAGCCCCGATATAAATGTGGAACACTTCCTTTCATGTCCTGCCGCTGACGAGGGTTGCCCAAGGTTAAAGTCACATCGAGTGGGCTTTGCGAGGAGTAGCTATCTCAGTTTTTGTGTACTTTTCACTCATTGTTACATCACATGCGTATAAGTTGATCAGTAATACCAGTTGTCTCGAAGTCCTTTTTGAAAATCTCAGAATTTCTGTTTGAGGTAGCCGACCCTGCGGCAGAAATCTCATTTGACTCCATGCTCACTGCCACGAAAGTAATGCATTTCATCTGACTTGTTTTTCGACCTGTGTGCTCCGTAATGTTTGCGACACACAAAGGTGCCAAATTGTTTGTGCAATAAATGCTAAAAAAGCTTGGAACACTCGTTTAGACAAAAATATGTGCGAACGTGACGTTCTCTATACCATTACCACAGATATTCTTTTCCAGGCGCTCTTTGGCTTTGGGAGTGGGAGCATCCCATGATCCAAGTGACCCACTGGCTCAACCTAAAACCAAGCAACTTCGCAGTAACAGGCCCTTGCCCGCTGGGCTAATCACAAACGCTTTTTTATTTACACCAGTAGAGGTGCGCACGGTCGTTCACATGACGATGGTGGTCGCGACCGCGGGAAGAAGCGCATAAGGCCGTTACAAAGCGATGATAGCGTAAGTTGAACTCGAAAATAATGAAACCTTTATCCTTATCATATCTTGACGGTACTGCAGTGGCATTACCTAGCACTATTATCAGACACAACTAATCCTGAGGTTGCACTATAGCATGCTTTTCAAATGTTTCCCAAATATCGGGCACTGCCTTGAAATAATTGAATCACAGGCTATCTAGTGTGCCGCAATATTTGAAATTGTGTGATGCCCTCCACATCATCCCCAGGTCGGACTGTTTCGACATCTTTGCATACCATACCAATGACCGCAAGCGTACGTGCTATTCAAGGTTCAAGGCATCCACAGGCCTCAAAATGCACAACAGGGCATCTCCGCCTACGCGCGAGACGCACGCGTTAACTGTTGAACTGTCACCTAGCACTTCTCGGCTGTTGCAGGCACTCGGTGCGCAGCCGTGGACATCTTCCCTGGCGGACACGCTGCGCTTCTACCACTCGGTCTGCCTGCCGCTGGCGGCGCAGCGCGCGCTCCATACGCAGGCCGTGCGCCACGAGTGCCTCGACGAGAACCACGTGGGCGCCTCGGTGCGCGCTACCGCGGGCAACGCCCTGCTCAGCTTCGTGTGCCACCGTGCGCTCGAGCGCCGGCCGGGGCACTGCTGTGGTGCGGGGGTCCAAAGTCTAGTATAAAATATGGCAGCAACAAAGTGCACAAGATGAAGCTTGAACTTCTCTTTTAATTTCCAGATCAAAAGTGTGCGCCTTGCACTCATTTTCGAGCTATCAGGCAAGCGCAGTACCCATGCACGCGCCGACGATGTCCGGGGCGTGGGATCGAATCCCCGCTGAGGCCGCCAACACTCTTTTTCAGCAGAGTTGAGATGGAACACGGAGTGACAAATCCCACACTGGGGAAATAGACTATTGAATGCAGGCATTAATCCTGATTATGTATAAACATATATGTATATATATATATATATATATATATATATATATATATATATATACATATATATATGCATATTATGTATAGCCTGAAGATGCATCTGCTGTGCTGTGAAATGTACTGCGAGCTATTACAAGAAATACACATGAGATCTGTTTGTGTCCATCAAATATACCTGACAGGTGTTATCGCAGCCGTCGGGCTACATGCAACAGCCTATGGCTAGGACACATAGGATTATTGTACCTGGCACATGGAACCTATCGCGACGGCAGCCGTCCAAGGCTGGCCGTCCAACGCGCACCCAGGAGATAGGACCAGGGCACTGTGTTAGGTTCTTAAGTTGTGATGCTGGCGGCCACTGTTGTGCAGGGCCGGCAGTGCCGCCTCAGGACCAGCGCAGCAACGAATAGCATAGTAACATTGCGAGCACCGCTGATTGGGAAGCAGTTGTGCTTAAAAGCGGGATGGTAAGCAATATAATGATAAGTGCCATAGCATAATTATTTCAGCATAAGACTTAGCACAAATCATAAAGATGATTTATTTTGCTGACTAGCTGTACATTTCAGGTACAACACAAACCAATGCACCCATTAGATACATTAACTACATTTGCTGCTTACATTGGATACATTTACCAAGCACAGGTTATTGTTCAATGCCAGGTTTATGCTGCATGCAGTTGCATGGAGCGATTGCATTTTGTGATGGTGGCCTCCTCCAACAATGTTGAAATGCACTAGCAAACGTTGGCTTGCCCTTCTCATATTGTTGCTAGAATATTACAAAACAAACTAAGGTAAAAGTGACTATCACATCGTGATGACCTGCTTTGGGTATTATTTGATGACATTGGCTGGACTTTTGAAGGAAAGGCACAAAACTACAACTTTAAATAGCCTTAAATCAAAATGAGGTGTCCAGACACAATGAAAAACACACATTAGGTGGAGGTGAGGTAGGGTCGCCCTCAGCACAGCCCACCAATCTGCCGCACACATTGATTCTTCTGATCTGGAAAAAAACCTAACTTATAATTTCACATAAGTTGAATGATGCCAGAAAACTCAGCCAATTTTTGACATAAGATGACCTTTTCTAAACAGTGCAGGCAGATAACTCCTTTGGTGAAATGTCATATCAGGTATGTGCACAACATTGCATCATACCAAACATTTCCATTACATTATAAGGCCTTTCATGTCTCAATAAACACATCTAATGCAATCACACAGCTGTGCTGAACTGGCATAATTACTGGTTGGCCCATTTCATGGGTGGTAACGCCACTGCGGACGAAGGCTATCAATGCTTATGTGGAATATTCAAGTGCCAATCAGACAACAATCTCAATATTCATGCATTAAAAAATAACGAGACCCTTAGCTCCAGCATTAATATACCTGAGCACGCCTTGGCCAATCACTTCGCATGCAGCATTCCGCAAGCCTTCAACAGCCGGTAGCCTAGGCCACAACACTCATAACTGGCAAGATGTGCAATAGCTGAATCTTTACATTATCAGTTTCGCTGCGGAATGTTTAAATGAGTTATTATATGTAAACTGAGACATAATGTGACTTGGCAAAGAACAACATACATCTGATTAGCCAAGAGGCATCTGAAATTACTCGAACACAATCTGATCCTCCAACCACCATCCGCAATACCGCACCACAATTCAAGTCTTTTGCGACTGAAAATGTGATTATTCTTAATCGCCGCAAACAAACCAAAGATGCCGCTAGCACAGCACTGCGAACTTTCGGTACAACATCCTAAATCTGGTGTTAATTCTGATTCTGGTATACTTATAGTATGTGTCGATACCTACTAGTCAAAACTTTGGAGTACCCGGTGTTGCATTGCCCTGGCTGTGGTGTAGGCTCGCCGCGGCTCGCCGGCGGCGAGTAGCGGGCGCCAGAGCCTGGGCTGCTGCTGCGACAGACTGAGCTGGCGGACCGCCGACGCGCCACTTAAAGGGAATGCTCCACATTTGTATGGCGTTTTGAACTGAAATAGCCATCTTGAGGACATTTTGATGCGGTTCACGGACATGCCCTTTTTAAAACCCAAAACGCTCTGGTTCCTGAGTTACACGCCCGCAAAGTACGAAAAGGCTTATTTACAGCCAACTTCAAAATCACATTCTGATTAATGACGCCATGGAAACGTCATTAGATCGCCGTGATATTACAGGCCGTTTTTTGTTTATGGTCAAAACAGCATGGTCAATGCTACATTCGCAAAGGCGATGCTGCTGCACATGTGGTGCGGTCTGCGGGAGATGATTGGCTGTTAGTGAGATTTTACTGCTGAATGCGTGTCGCGAACACAAGCGTGAGCAATTTCGGGTTGTGCAACACTCATCGTGAACGGGTCATTTTTCCTTATTTCTAGGCCACAGGTCAATGTTATAAAAAAAGAACGCCACTGTCTGCAAAAAAGTACGGCACTCAAAAATGGACACTCCCAAAATTATCAAAAAGAAGACGCGACACCAAGTCTTTTTTCTGCTGCTGGCATTTTTTCTTCTTGTACTAACGGATCTCTTTCAGACAGCTGGGTTGGCGCCTTGTGTACAGGAACGCAGAACCTTGCACGGGCTTATGGGTTAGCAAGGCATTATGAAATTGGTGAAATATTACAGTGATTTTAGACATAGTTTTCTAAGTATTTCACACGTATGGTACAAATTTAAAGCTCAAACACAAATTGTGTTTTACAAGCAGAACCTCTTGAGCCTCATTACCACGAACCCCCGTTGGAACTTTGTTTCGAAGGGAGGTCACGGTGAAATTCGGTACTGTGACTGAAGATCCGTGCGGATATTGTGAGAAAATCTGCAATTCGATAGTCCCGCGAGCTGTGCAAATGTGAGAGCACACGTATTTGGCAAGAGTGTGGATCGGGGGCTCGAAATGCGTGTGATCACTGGTGGTGTGTGCCAGTGGCTTGTATTGGTATTGCTGTGATGGGCAGCGTGCGTGCGAGGTTTGTTCTTCTGAGAGAGAACATTGTTTTGGTATTCGTCAGTCTACTGACTCCCAATGAGATGTGATATATTGATGCCTATTGATATTGATACCTGCCTCTATCTTTATGTTCGTGTTTGAACAGGACAAAGGAATGCTGGCAAATTCAGGGAAACACTAGCATTTATGTTGCAGGGGAGTACAAAGGCAAGTACTGGTACTGGTACTTCTTTATGATCTTGCCAACATTGTGAACCTATTGAGGCATTACAGCATGTAATTGATGCATTGCATGCCATTATATCAGCAATTCATTTTGCCAGTGGGGGCTGGTGTGTGTGCAACTCATTAATGGACATGCTCCGTATAGGCTCACATTATATGGCTTTGCAAAGTTGTCTTTCCCTAAAGAATTCTGAAAATATGGGTGCACATTGTACTGTCTTCATACATTTTGTATGCAGGCGAGCATTGCTCCTGAGTTATCAGTATCATAGTCACTGCAACTTGCGCGGGATGCTAGGTGCTGAGAAAGGTGGAAAAGTATTGCTGTTAGTGTCTTGGACAGCACTTAATAATATGTTTATCATGAGCCTTGTGTGCACTGGCAGCTTCATCACTTCCTTGCATTTTGCCCATCCAACCATAACTACATGCACTTGTCATGTCTCCAGCCCTGTGCAAGGTCAGCATTTTTGCAGTGTCATTTCACCAGATGTAAAATTTTCCTGTCATTTTTAATAAAGCAGCCTAATGACTGCAGCATGTTGCTTGACCATGGAAGTGAAAGATGTGTTTGCATCTTTCTCACCTGCGTTTTCTGGATTCACGAAGCAGGCTGACCAAGCGATGCCACCTATTGGTTGTCTGCTTTGCTGAAAGTGATTTGTATATTGTAGCATGTGCTTTTGGTCAGTCACATGGGAAGGGAAGTCATATGGATGGGAAGTCAATGCAAGAGCGCATGTTTGACCCCTCTTTTCATACTAGAATTTATTATAAAAGCGGCATGGATTGCAGTCGAAAAAAATATTGTTGATCATAATGTCATGCCACAGTACAGCACCGAGATAGTGCCACAATAAAGCTATTGACCAGTGCCACACACAAAGTACCACATTGGTTGAGTACTCTATGTTAAGCCTACGAGATAGCAGCTTATAATTTATGAATGACTGGTAAAAATTTATGTAACAATGCCAAAGGACTATCTACGGCAAGAATGTCGTTGCACGACAATGGTTATATCAGGATTAAATATTAATTGCATGAATAGTCCTAAGCAAAAAAGCATTCTTAGTGGCCGAACCTTACCATCTTTGCCATAGCAATAGCAATGCTTTCACAATGAATGCATGGCAACGTTACAAATTTATTAATTTTCGCATGACACCACATTTCCGGTTACAAAAAATAAACACAATGTTGCAGTTTGTTAATTTTGGCACGACACCCCACTTCCAGTGACAAACAATAAGGACAGTAACTACTGTACACATCACATGATACCAATGTCAGGATTACAGCGCTCTGCGCAACGATGGGTCAACAATAAAGTGTTGACAAAATAATCAACAGCAAAGCAGCAACAGCAGCAGCACAGCATATCGTGCTTTGATGTTAATAATCTCCCATAAAAGCTGGCAATCGCTACGTTGCGCATGTCAAACGGTACACGAAAGCTTTTCTTACGGCCAGCACCAAGACAAACAACACACAAATAACCCACCCACTAATTCGCCCCCCCCCCCCCCCGACACATG